GGTACTGGGCCGGGCCCGGACCGGTCCCCGGCTAGGCCCGAGCCACAATACAGCCTTAGTCTAAACAAACTAGTATAGCTAATTTGTTAGAAGAAAATTTTGCCCAAGTTGAATTGTAAAGGATGCTATAAGTACCGTTGCTCAACTTTGTCAAAGGCTAACATTGTCATTTCAAGTTGATACTTTCTTTTCATTGATTCGCCACGTGTTAAGGATAGTGGGTTTTAGCACACAGTATTAGGGTTTCGGATTCTCTGTTTTATTTCGTTGACACTATACCTTCTTTTTCAAATCGGGAAAGATTCGATTTTGATGTGAATGATAGAGTATTAAAGTTGCGTGCTTTGCTTCAATTTTGAGGGAGAATCGAATCGAGCTTCGTCGTTGCAGTGGGAAATCGATGATCGTCGTCTGCACCAATAAATGGACCCTTCTTCAGTGCAATCCACTCCTTCCATCCAAGATGACGAGTGGGGTAAATTAAATTATTCATCTTTTTTCATTTTAATTCTGAACTTTTATTTTTCAAATGATGGATCAGTGTTAATTGGATATATGGTGGTCAATTTAATCAGATTATTTCATTGATGTTAAGGAGGGTTCTTATATGTTGCTGAATACAGCATAGAGATGTGGTTAATTTTTTCGGTTAATTTCTGCGAAAGCGTTTTCAAAAGAATTGTAAGGAGTTAATTATTCTGACAGTTTACTTGAAGGTGGGTTTTGTCTTGTTCGAATCAATGTTTTGTGGATATTGATATGCTTTTAGCTTTGATTTGATGATTTGGGTACATGGATTAGCAAACCCAGAATAATTATCCCTTTTGGTTGGAATAAAACACAACCTTTTGTGTGTGTGTATTTGACCTAACAGTTCTATTTGCTGTTTCATCAGTCTGTTTTCCTTTTTCTTGAAACAAGTTGACATTTGTCATGCTGATGTGAAAAATAAGACAGTAGTAGATTTTTTGCTTTAATGACGAGGTCATAGAACTGAAATATTATTCTTTTTGTAAGCAAAATTATTGATATATGACGGTAATTGTATTAGAAAACATGTCAAGAGGGTTCAATCCTTTGGTACTTTTTTTTTGTGGTAATGTCAGTCTCAAGGGTTCAATACTTGGTACTTACATCTGGATGACTAGAGGCGTTAAACGGGTGGGCCGGGCCGGGCCGCTATATGTTGGACCCGTATGGGTTACGATCCGGGCCGGTTCCGGGTTGGTTCTTAACGGGTTTAACGGGTTCGGGTTCATCCGGGTAAAAATTGAACCGTAAGGGTTACGGATTGAGGGGGCCGGTCGGGTCGGGTTTAGTGTATTTTTAACAGTTGGAGGGAGTGCACCGAATTCGACAATAAATTGAGTACTTGATTACGCAATTCCGATGTTACCACGAACAAACGTCAAGCAAGTATTTCAATTTTGAACTTCAATTGTTCAAACTTCAAATTCCGAATGATAAAACACGATAAATTAAATTCAAGAAAAGAGAGACAAATAAAATTAGAAGATGAATTGAAGACTTGAAGTCTTGCAAATTGGAGAATGAGAGAATGAGAGAAATTGAGATTGAGAAATGAGTATTGAGTGAAGAAATGAAG